ACCTAGCACAGATTTTGCTGAATTGCGAAATATAAGACCTCCCCCTGAAAGTAAGACCTAGCGAAGTTTTTTTTTAATCGTAACGGTCATTGACAGATGGTTGACAGTGGCCGTTGGCTTTTTGAAAGTTCAACCACTGATTGGTCAGCAGACAATTACGCCACACGGCATGATTTGCATAAGACTATGGCTTGGGAATCACAGATTTCCATAACGTTACGGCTGGTGATGGCTAATTGGTCGGCCGGGAACACACCACATGACATTTGCATAGTGCTACGGTTCAGTAAGCACTAATTGGTCATCGAGTCCGATGTTGACGCTATAAAAAGGCGACAGTTTGACACACCGGATATTCGTCACTTTCGTCTAAGTTCGACTTGGAAATTTTTTTGTTCAATAATAAATGTGAATTCTTCTTCCTGGAAAAAATAAGACATTCCCTGAAAATAAGATCTAGCGCATTTTTCAGAGCAAAAATTAATATAAGACACTGTCTTATTTTCGGGGAAACACGGTATGTACTGTAAGTCAGTATTTTATTAATAAAATGAATCTGAATCTGTAAAGACATGCACAAATTTGAGAAATCTCACACATCATCTCAGTGGCACAAATCGGTGGCCATAGCAGCAAAATGTTTTGTTGAAAATATATCCATTGATGTTACAGCTGATTTCTATCCACCAACAAGAAAATTGTTGCATCAATAATTTTGACTGTGATGTTTTGTGGTACACATGACCTACCTTTGAGGGGCAAAGAACATCATAAAGGTGTTTTTAAAGACTTGATCAAACTCAAAATTAACACTGGTGACCACATTTTAAAAAAGCACATAGAAAAGGGCACAAAAAAATGTCACTTACATGTCACCACAGATTCAAAATGAAATAATCGGCCTATGTGGCAGTGTCATTAGAGACGACTTCACTACTGATGTAAAGAAAGTATGTGCTTAAAGTATCCTGGCAGATGAGAGCAGTGACATATCAGGGAAAGAGCAACTTTCCATTGGGATTAAGTTTTTGATAAAGAAAGATGATGATTTGTGAAGACTTTCTAGATTCTAGGTTTTGTAGAGTTGACTGACATGGATGCAAAATCTGTACATTTGCAATTAACAACTTTGAAGAAAAGGTAAGCCTTGATCCAGAAAAGTGCATCGGACAGGACAAGGATATGATGGGTGTTCCACTATGGCAGGATATGATGGTGGTGTCCAGAAAATTCTTTGAGAAAAGTATACAAGAGTATTATACTTTCACTGTGCTAGTCACAAACTGAACTTAGTTGTAAATGACTTAACGAAATAGCAGTGGCATGAAATACGGTCTCCACAATAAAAAAAATAATAAGATTCTCCTGAGAATCAGCCCTTTGTCAAAAATGCATACCAAATATACCAATGCTCTGTGAAATCTGTTAGTCTCAAAAATATAATATTGCCACATTCAAGGAACATTATATGCAAATTATTATGGTGCTTGAAAAACTATCAACAGATGGCAACAATGCAATGAGAAAAGCTGCTTTTCAAATGTATTGCACTGCTACAAAATCAGAATTCATTGTTAGTGTTTATCTCATAGCAAAATATTCAGCATTCTTGTAACCAGTGGCTCTTCAGTCAAAAAGTGTGGACTTACTTCAATGTGCAAATCACATGAAAAAAATCACAGACATCATGAGAAAAAACTGTGGAAATGTGGTTGTTGAAAGTCAGTGCTATAGCACAGGCTGAAACAATTGCTGAGCATCTTGGAACAGATTTCAATATGTCGCGAGTCATCAGAAACATCATGTGAATCCACCAGCACAGACTCCTATTGAGTTTTGGAGAAGATCACTAATTATTCCATATACAGATTCATTAATAATGCCTCTGGAACAGCATTTTTCTGAAGAGAACTTGCTTGCATTCTCATTGCTTACATTGCACTCTCATGTAATGCCTGATATGACGTATGAGGATTTTTCAAAAAAAAAAAAAAAAACTACAATTTGAATGATTTCCTCAGTGAAGCTAAACTTTGGTACAACCAATGAAAAGGAAAAAATGTGACAAATGCCAAACTTAAGGAGATAGAACTAGCTGCACTAGTTAAAAAATTGCAATTGTTCTACTCATCCATAAAACAGGCACTACTTATCTCACTTGCACAGCCCTGCACAATGTGCACTATTGAAAGATCCTTCAGCACCTTACAGAGGGTAAAAACTTGGATACAGTCAACAATGACAGAAAATTGGCTTGTCGATCTTTGTATGATGAGTGTGCATAAAAAGAGGATCTGGAAGCTAAAAATAATTTTGAGAAAGAAATTTTGACAAAATTTAGCCAGAACTTCCATAGGCCAGGGGTCGGCAACCTTTTGAGTCGGAAGAGCCAAAATTACAATTTACAAAATTTCAAAGTTTTTAAAGAGCCACAAAATTTTTTCTAGCCAACAATAAATAGTACTCGCATAAATAAAGTTTTTTGATAAAAAACTAATCTATTTATTCATATATAAGTAGAGTTTTTCACAACAAATTAGATAATAGAAACACCTGACGATGGCGTTATTCGAGAGCTTCCGACAGACTGACGACAGTGACGACGCGTGTCACGGGGGAGGGGTGCGGTGAAAAGCGAGTACAAGTGGCTGAGAGATAGAATCGGTGCCTAATCCTCGTTAATCGATTCAGAACGATTTTTAAATTTTTTTTTTTTTGATAAAATAAATATTTGCGTATGGAACTAAAGAGCCGCAGCTTCACATTCAAAGAGCCGCATGTGGCTCGCGAGCCGCAGGTTGCCGACCCCTGCCATAGGCTAATGCTGAAATAAGATTTAGATAGGTTCAAATAGCATTGCAACTAATTACTTTTAGTGTTTTCAAATGTTCAAATAAAACCATTTTTAATAACAATGTTATCTTATTTTTGTCCCGATGGAGAAAATCCTGACTACACCCTTGGCCAAAGTACACTTATAAATGCTTATAATCAAATAATCAACAACTTCACTGCAACTTTTTCATTACAGACATTTATCCCTCTCTTACTCTCAGGACTGTATGAATTTATTAAGCACATCTTTATTGACTATTTCTGGATTCTAGATATGCAGAAAGGCTTATCTATGTCATAAACATAGTATTGATTTCTCATACATTCATTGGTGTGCTTGTGTTGCTCATATAAAGCAGCAATCAAAGATCTAAGTATACCCATTATGCATTCTATCTTCCTTAAGAATAGGCAAATTATGCTAGACAAAATTTTCATAGCATTAGAACATACAGGTATATTACCTAGGAAAGTTGTAATGAGTTTAATTCTTATCTGAAAAACATATTTAATACAGTATTTATATAACTCACTATTCTAAAAGCTATCTTGTCACTGATAAGTTTTTGGAGGAATTAGTTAGATGTTTCAAATTTTTTTAGATTGTGATTAAATTTACCTTTCATCTGAATTTCAAGATCCTGACAATGAGAATTAATATGGAATGATAGATAATGCTTGCTGACACATAATAAATGTAGTAAATAATTTTTAGATATACTAAGTATTTTATATAACAGTTATATTTTCTTTTCACATAAAGCTATAATTTCAATAAAATTATCAAACTTACCGGTGATAATGGTTCATCTGTTCTTAATTGATAAGCAGGTTCATCAATAAACTGAAAATTTACATCCATAAAATCTTTTCTATATCTAGATTTATAAAAATTATCACTGTGTATATTACTTTTCCACCAAAAAGATTCACATCTTGGTTTAAATGCCACCTATAATAAAATAATATATCATTAATGTTCTATAAATTCAAAAAGGATACTTTAATAGAGTTATATTTACAATACACAAAATTATGCTAGTGCTTTTGGAATCTCTACTATCTTCAGGCTACATTTTAGAATGACAGCTATAGTGATTTAATCTCAAAATAAATACAGTAGCACACATAAATACAATAAACAAAAATTAATACATGACCAAACAGCATAGTTGATATAAAATTAAACTTCTAAATTCTCACTATTTTTTGAAACATTTTCATTCTTTGAAATATTGTTTCCTAAATGGCATTTCCTATATATGATAACACATGTCAGATATGTGTAGACCTATCTCTATTAATTCAAATCTAACATATTTAAAATCGAATAATAACAATTTCATACTTTTCTTCTTATAACATTTATAAGTAATGTTTCAATGTTTAAATGTTTCAGTACAGACCAAAGTTTCCAAACTTGTGGGTATATGAAGCACTTTCGAGGGGTATGTGAAAAGAAATCTGTAACAACTGCCAAATTAAATTAGAATTTCTTTTTAATTTATACATAGGTGATTCAAAATTTTCTACACCTATCTTTAAAAGGTACTAACTTTAATTTTTCTCATAAATGTATAAAATACTTTATGATATTTTATGCATTTGTGAGGACCTAGCTTAGTTTCATTTAGTCTTTTACATCAGTTAATTTCACATCTATTGAATATATTGCTGCAATAATTGCTGTAGTATGTATTTTAAATTGCAAAATTTAATAGTTAAAAGTCAATGATAATGGAACAATTATTCAAATATTTTATTTGCAACGGTGATTTAGTAATTAATCGAATAAACTATTCTTAGTCTGTCATAAAGTAAATAAACAAATTTTTGATATATATGAAATTTTCCATTTCCAAGAAAGAGATATGTCAACTGAATAAGTTTAGGAACTACAGGTGTAAACTAATGTTATGGATTGTAAAAAAATACTGGAAAAATCAAATTTGTAATCTTCAGAGTTCTTTCATTTAGAGCAGCTGTCCCCAACCTTTTTATCGCCATGGACCGGTCAACGTTTGATAATTTTACTGCGGCCCACTGAGGGGGGACGTTGATTGTTCATATTTTAGATTGATTTAATTTAATAATTTTAATTTAACTGTATTTAAACGTGCCTTCAAAATAAAATACAATTACACCAAAAAATGAATATAATGTGATTTAACATTTTAACTCACTAGAAAGCTAAATCAATGAGAACCCTGAGCTTGTTTCTTTGCAACGAGACAGTTCCATCTGGGGGTAATAGAAGACAATGACACTCGAAGTGTGTTTCTTATGTTCAGTTTATTCCGCTGTTCCGTCGTCTATTAAAAGTCGCACAAACCAGAGACAAATACACCATAGTAAATAAAATGGAAATAATTTAATGTTCTTTGGGTGGCCCGGTACCATTTGATCCACGGACCGGTACCGGTCCGCGGCCCGGGGGTTGGGGACCACTGATTTAGAGTGAAGAAAAAATAAATTGGGACACTTTTCTCGATAAATTCAGTTGTATTCTTTTAATACACAATGAAAAATAATGCTTAATATTACAGCAAAATAGGAAGCAATTAATAAACTAAATGCCTCAATAATACAAATATTTTTTCTTGTCTGTGTTTCATTGTATGATATCAAGTGTTTACTTACAGAATATTTATCTAAATTTAGGAAGTTTCTTAATACAAACAAAATTTCAACCTATACTTAAAAGAAAACAAAATTATTTGCTCAAGATACATTTCATTAAATCTCAAACTGTTGAAGCAGGATGTTTGTTTATTTTTAATGTTAATATTAGAAATAAACAAACATCCTACTTCAACATGACAGATGCAAACACTTCTTTTTATTATTTAATTCTTCAAAATTTTATGACTACTCACACAAAAACGTTTTAATGCAGTATATATACCTTTATTCTAATGTTTGGTGATTTGTAATGAAATGGGCCCTAGGTATATAATGAAAGGAGTTATAAACATAAGTTTTTCACTTTGTGCAATCAATGCTGTAGGTGGGAAAAGTGATCTACATACTTTGATGATATTGCACAGTTAGTGATATTACAAATCCATCTTACCAAACACAGAATGATATCTGTAACAACAAGTGTACTACAGAAATTTCTAAGAGTGTGGTGGAAATAAATTGCAAGCAGAAATGGAATGAGACTGACCTTGCTGCTAATGCAATAAAATGTAAAAAATAAAAAAGTTACTTTTATTCTAACATTTTTGATCATTTTAAATGATCATCTTCAGGAAAAACATTCCAATAAAAACAAAACTTATATACTGCATTAAAAGGTTTTTGAGTGAGTATTTTATAAAAGTGCGGTTTAGAAAAGAGTAAATATTAATTTTATGACCACTTACTTTATTTAGAATTGTAAATGAATTAGCAAGATCCAATGACTAGAAATATACAGTATAAACAATAACCTTAACAACTGCAATAAATAACTTTTTGCACCAATAAAAGTATTTAAATTTATTTTTTTAATGGCACAGACATTGATAATTTTAATTGTAAATACACAGACATTGATAATTTTAAAAAGCTTTTATATTAGTTTATTATAATATAATTAATAAAAATCAGGAGCACACTGCAAACTCATAAAAGTAGGAAAAGTTCACATTCACTGGTCAACTTGTCAGGTGTATGATTTTACTCCTACAATACAGTGCTATAGATGCTTATCCTTTGGCCATTTTGCTAAAAACTGTACTTCCACAGAATCCACATGCAGTTATTGTGGTGAGAATCATCTTTTTAAAAACTGTACAAATAGACATGAAACACCAAAATGTGTCAACTGTTTGAAAGAAAAAAGAACACAACATAACCACAATATATACCATGGATAAAATGTGTCCAACATATCTAAGAGAAAATTCAAAATATCTAACTAGGACTGAATACATACATACATGAAAATCAATAGCTATGTTACTACAGACCAACAGGAAATACTTGCAGACCACTAGCTGAATTTCATCATAGACCAACAGGAAATTCACTCCTTGAAATAATGCATTTCTGAAACTGTGATAAACATCTATTCTGTGATGTCTTGAAACCTCTAGACCAGGGATGGCCGACCGGTCGACTGCAAAGGTTTTGAAGTAGCCCACAAAGCTAAAGTTGAACAATTTGCTTTCACTTAAATTAATGTTTAAAAATCTTAATTCGATAATTTATTCTTACAATAATAGATTGTCTGTGCAACGTACCCATAATGTTTGTATTTATCCCAATGAACAATGCAAATGAATGTTAATGCATGTGCATATAAAAATCATAAAATTGTTTGCCCATATTCATAGTCGCCCAGACTATATTTTACCAAAAACGTAGCCCTTAAGGGATAAAAGTTTGGTCACACCTGATCTAGACTATTGCATTTTACATGTTATTTGGATGTTAATGCACTTTTTGTATAATTTGGACATTTTACATGATATGGCAAGTTACTAGAGAGGTTGAGGCGCACGTTTTAAACGTGTAAACGTGTACGTGTGACGTTCGGCGCCGCTTTCCCGTAAGCCTAAAAGTTTGACGATGGTGTTTGGAATGTCGAGCGTGATTCCACCGACTATCCAAACACCATTGTCAAACCTTTAGGCTTACGGGAAAGCGGCGCCGAACGTCACACGTACACGTTTACACATTTAAAACGTGCGCCTCAACCTCTCTACTCACAATTATAACTATATGTGCCAGTCTCCAATCAGCAAGATGCTACATTAAGTATTTATTTACATTCATTATTCAGGTTAATTATATTTTTCTATTAAAGGTAACTATGTGTTTGCAATCTTGCTGATTTTATGTACATAATTTTGTATGTAGTTAAGTTCATTGTTTCTTTATTTATCTCTTTTTATCTTATTTTATGTATTTATTGACTTATTTTCTTCTATTATACATATTTGCTTTCATCATTTCTGTATGTGTAACAAAATTTTATCTTGAGTACTGTAATATCTAATGTGTATAACCCATAATGCTCAATGTGGGGCCATTCTGTACTATATTTGTATAATAAATGAATGAATGCAAACATATTAACTATCAGATATAAATGTAGAATATAAGCCATTAAAACCAATGATTATCTCTCACCTGAGCTTTCAAAAGATGGCTATATTGCCTATTCATAGCTGGCATTATTGTGGATACAGCTTGATGAAAAGCAAAGTTTCCTCCTAAACATTCTTTTTCAACTGGATCATCAGTTTGTATCCTAAGGTAACTTTTCTTCAATTTTTCAAGAAAATGTGCTTTAACGTTTTCATATTCATCTTCCATTATTTCTACGTTCTGAAAATTTTCAGGAAGCCCTTCAATGAATCTTGTTCTTGTATAATATTGATATAATGGTAATGTATTATATACTGGAATTGACGGACGAATGATTGCCATATAACGTTTATCATGGGCAGTCAACTCTAATAACTTTTCCTCCGCCGTTGGTAATTGTTTAATATGATCATACCATAATTGCCTTTGATAACGTCTGTTTCCTTCATCGCCATGAACTCTAATAGGAGGATATTGTGGAACGTCAACATAATCTGTTTTGGCTGCGGAACTGCAGCTTCGTGTAATATACTTTAACAAATTAGTGAAAGTTTTAAGATATCTTCTCTTTACATCGTACATCACACACTCCTTTACGGACATCATAACTCTAGCTTTATAAATATGCATTAATGTATTCAAAATATTGAACTCAAAATTATCTTTTGGTACCCTTTATTTTTCTTCTTACAATCTATTACAACCCTTTAACACTTTCAAATAACCTGCTTTTTCTTAGTGTGGTAAGAAATTCTATGGCATGCTGCAAATATTTATTTTCTTCGATAATAGTAAAGCACGCTTCGCACCACACAACACAACGTGTTGCCAGTTTCTCTTTTTATTTTTGCCGTTGCCAGATAAATTCCTTCTTTACAAGAGAGCCATGGACAGAACACAATATAAAGAAATACCTAAGCATTTCTGAAATATTTTAATATAAAAAATTTTAGAAATTTCTAACACTTCATAAATTTTAAAGTATACGAGGATGTTTTTTACTTTGCCCTGTGGGCACTAGGAGGGCCTTTTTTTACCGGACTCGTTATGACTTCGCCTAAGTCACAATAATGCGGCCGGGGGTGAGGGATGGGTCTCGACATATCTGAAGAGGCTATTTTCGAAAGTTTCCTTGATTTTTTCGACCCATACGGATTCGATTGTTAGTCCTCCAGACGGCAGTCTGCCACCTTAACTTCTCGGCCATCCGCTCGTCAAATTATACGAGGATCGCTGTTTCATATAAATATAATATATTTTTTAATCAAATATTTACTCCGAAATTCCGAAAATACTGTATAAAACTTTACTTTTATTGGTTTCCTAAGAGTTCCGCGCTTGATTGTTTTCGGCTGTACCAAAACATATTTTCGTAACATATAAGAATTCTTTTAAATAATACCAGCTTTATATAATTTTTACGTTTATTTAAACTACCTATAAAATATCGTTAAAAAATAATCGATAGTAAGACAAAAGAAAACTGATTTTAAAAAGATTAAAGTACTGTATGCGATATATTAATACAGGTATTTATTATTTAAGTGTGAAAACTGAAATAATAAATAAAATATTTTATGCCATCTTTTGAGATTTCGGATCTTTCTGGTGAAGTACCCGAGGTTCCCTTTGACTGTTTTATTTTAAATTTCATCTTAGTTTTGCCGTTTTGAATGTATCATTTATAAGAAGTCTTTTATTCAAACATTTCATTCAGTTGATGTAGCTATATTGATGGATCAAGCACTCGGAAAGCTCCAAGCGCAACTCAAGGCCTTAGAATATAAGGTTGCCTCATACAGCCGATTTAGCCACTTCCTGCCAGATTCCGGATATACGTCATCCGTAGTCGAGCCGNTACTTATGGTGTATCTCCAAACACCTTTAGACATATTTAATTTCATTTCATGCTTATTTTTGCATATTCGAGCATTAGGTAAAATATTTTTCTTTTGATAAAACAATATAGATTCTTCCTCCGTGCGTGGTAAATCGTATAACGTAGACATTTTTTATTTTTCACAAAGGTTTGGAAAACACCTGTCTGTTGATAGGTCAACTGAAGGTCTTATAATATAAGGTTGCCTCATACAGACAATTTAGGCACTTCCTGCCAGATTCCACATATACGTGATCCGTAGTCGAGCCGTGGTCTAGCTACTGCTTTACTACTGTAAACAAGGAAAGGAAATTTTGGAATATTGCTATCTTTTTACTTTGTTGAGCGTTTTTGGACTCATAATCTTCGAAGGTAAATATATTTATCGTTATTACTATTATTAAACATAATTATGTTTTTAATTATATCGATAAAAATTGTTTGAAAGAAACAAAAGTGTTTCAAGAACCGTTCGATATTCTGTTGTAGTCGTTACTCTTCGTTGTGTAAAAATTACAGAATATGGTTACGGATAAAATTTATTTATTAATAAAATACTTTAAAATACTAAGAATAGTTTTTTGCATGTATAAAAATAGTATCTGCTCGATAAAACGACGACTACAAATAAGCTTGTTTCGTAACAGGATGGTAACACTTTTAAGATACCTTGCGATGTAAAAAAATATTGTTTATTATTAATTAATATAACTTTTTAAAATATGCATATTTACGCAAATACCTAAAGTTTAATTTTATTATTATTATTAGATGCCAGGAGCAACATGTGCTGTTGCAAATTGTGATAACAACTATTGTAAAACAAAGTCATTAAACAGAAAGTCAGTTATTTTAGATTTTTTAAATATCCAATAATAAGAAGAAAATGGATTCATAACTGTAAAAGAAAAGACCAATTTAATCTTGATTCTTGTCATATTTGCTCTGATCATTTCACACAAATTGATTTTGAGAGAAATTTATAAGCTGAATTATTAGGTTTATTGGCAAGACTTTACTACCAACTAAAAAAAACTTTACTACCAACAGTAAATTTAAAAAACATAGAAAATAAAAATATTAAGCAGTCAAATGAAAGAAAAAATCGTGTATTAAAAAGAAATAGAAAAAAACCTGATAGAAAAACTTTTAGATGTAAAATAAACAGGATAAACGAGAAGAATCTCTTAACAAATGTAACAATTGTAAAACTTCTTAAATTGTAAAATAGATCTTAATTTTAAATTAAAACATAAAAATTCTATTTTAAACATGATAATTTAACATATTGAGATAAAAATGGAAGCAATCTAAAGAAATCTGAAATTTTGGTAAAGTAAAACTGTCATCATTAAAAAATAACATGAAAAATTAAAAAAAATGAAAATGATAAACCAGGTCTTGTTATATCAATATTGACAGGTACCTTTACAGAAACACAAATATACAATCTGCTGGATAGAAAAAAAAATTAAATGGAAGAAAGAAGATATGAATTTGGCATTTACTTTGAGATATATAAGCATAAGATCATATTTATACTTAAGAAATCAAATGAATATTCCGTTACCTGCAGTTTCGACACTTCAACGATGGGCTTCATAAGTAAATCTTTGTCGAGACATATTAAATAATGTTATAAACATCATAAAAATTAATAGCTTTAAACTTTCACAAGAGGAAAAACTTAGTTTTTTTGTTTGATGAGATGAAGATAAATACTGTATATTCTGTACTCATATTGATAAAACCGCATAATTCAATAATTATTTTTATTTTCTGTTTTAACATTTTACTGATATTTTAGGTAAAGCGTATACATGAATATGATAAAATGAGGGATAAAGTTATTGGATCAAATAATCAAGTTTTAGTAATGATGTCAAAAAGACTATTTGCGTTATGAAAACAACCAGTTTATGTGGATTTTGATGTTAAAATGAAAATCCACATTTTATTTACTGTTATTTCAAAACTTTTTGATGCAGGATATACTGTTGTTGCTGTTGTTAGTGACTGCAGTGGACAAAATATAGGATTATGGAAAAAATTAGAGATAAATATATTCAATACTAAATGTATACATCCATCTAATTGAAATAATATATACTATTTTCCAGATGCACCTCATTTGTTAAAACTCATTAGAAATTTCTTAAAACTCATTAGAAATTTGTTAAAACTCATTTTTAGATACAGATTTTCTAACTTCAAATCATACATTAATAAACAAAGACTCATTACAACAGTTACCTCAAATAGATTTTGATGAAATAAAAGTTTGCCATAAATTGAAAGAAGAGCATATTACGTGTCGAAAATTTCAACGACAAAATGTTAGATTAGCTTGTGAATTATTTTCTAATTCTACAGCTATTGCTATTAAAATTTATATTAAAACTGAAAATGCCTTAGCAGCTTCTGAATTTATATCATCGATTAATGCATGGTTTCATGTTACGAATAGTTCAACACCCAATTTTCATTACAAAACTGATTAACCCTTCAAATGTGTTTATGGAATTAACATAACAGAACAAAATAATATACTTGATAATACTTACAAAATAATTGAAACTATGAGATTTTCCGCAAAAATACAAACAACCGTATTTAAAACAGTACAGCAGACGCCAAGTTATTCAGAGTGATCCTTCACCCCCTTTTCCCGCGAAAAAGGATTTTCAAAAATTTCTTCTTACTGTACATTCTCATGACGTACCCTAATTGTGTACCAAATTTTAACTTTCAACTCCTAACACGTGGTTCAATGGCGTCACAACACACAGTAAATTACAATTACGCATGTCGAGCTTCTTGACTTGATAAAGTAGCGACATCTCGTGGTGAAAAACAGAACTATGGGTACAGAAATATCCGCTAGTTATGCTATGTAAATGGTCCCAGTTTAAATCTGTGCTATTGTTGAAGTACGATTTTCTGTAAACATAAGTACTGGTATTACCCGCATACATTACATTAGCATTCAAAAATACACACTAATAATTACATTAAAAATTCTAATAACGTATCTAAGAACACCGAAAGATCAAGAGACAAGAAGATAACGACACGTGAGAAGTATCGATGAAATACGTACCACAATTCGCTTACTGATTTTCAGTACAGCGATTTCAAGCAGATATTATTGGTGGAAGAGTCGCGACATTTTTTTTCAATTTGATATCTTCTTATGNTGAAAATGGTCACTTCGTGAAAGTTAAATCGTTGTTCTTTCACGTTTGACATCTTATTTCGCTTCTTGCAATAATACGTGTATTAGGGAAAACTCGTACAAATAATAAAGAATATTCTCCGAATCTCTCAAATTTTAGTCAACGATTAACTTTCTCAATACTTGACACTCAAAACGAACACTTTTTTAAGTTACGTTCACCGGAATAGAAACGGTTACGTCAATCATGTGTTAGTTTTTATGCAAATGAGTTTACTAAATAACTGATACTGAACACTTTTGGAAAATATTAATATACGTAAATATTTATTGTGTTCAATTTTCCTAATTATTCGCTTATTTGATCATGTGAATTTCATAAGACATTTTAATAAATCGTAAATTTAAGTAAAATAAATTCTAGAGCTTTTTCTGAATTTCGTGCATGTCACTCAATAAATTTTGTTTTAAATGATGCTGGCAAAGTAACAGTTAATTTTTTAATATTGTACATAAGTTGTACACGTTTTTTTTCCTGCATCCCTATATCCCGTAACTATATACCTTAGACATAAGCAGAATATTTCATCGTTTTTTTTATTTTATTTTACATAGTAATTTTTAATTCGTCTTCTATTTTTTTAAATAAATTCGTCATTTTCGATCTTTTAAATAAACATTCCACTTACATGGATCATGTTTAGATTACAATGTAAACATAATTACAGTGTTATTGTTGTATTTTACTTCGGAATATGTTTCTAAAAC